GTGGCAGTGGAAGGTGTCAAAGCAGTTTGGAGAGAAAAACAAAGTAAAGAACAACAAAAAAAAAGAAAACGATTAATCGATTATTAAATTAGTCATCGATTATTTTAATAATCGATTAGTCATCGACTAATCGTGGCAGTCCTAGGCATGAGACTGTCTGGAATTAAGCAGGGGTAGACAAAACCATTGTTTAGGTTGTCCGAGAAACCTATTTTCATTTCCGACAACCAGATCCTGTCTCCTGGTTGTTTGGTGGACAACCAAGAAAAAAAGACCTTGATTAAAGTTCTCTGCCGCGGGTGTCCATCATTTGTAAAAATGAAAGGGAGAAAAAACTTGGTAAAGCCAAACAGGACACTAAACTGTAACTTTTAATAAGGTCATGTACACAGTATACTACTAATTAACTGAAAATATTTGACCTGTGACTGAGCAGAAAAAAAAGTTTATGAATGTTGGGTAACCTCTACATTTTATTACCAACATTTTTGCTGCTTTACTCCCYGAGCCTTAAATAATCTATTTCAAAGAAGAGAATGAGGAAGTTTTATTTACACAGATCCTGTCAACCTGGCTGACTGAGAACAATTATATATAATAAACTTTGTCTACTGAACAATATACTTGTTAAATTACATTTTTCTTGAGATTCTTTTGGACAACCAAAATGTTTTGCGGACAACCAGGTTTTATCAACAGGTTGTCCGCTGGACAACCTGAAAAWTTTCCTTATGTCTACCCCTGTTGAGCTTTCATCAAGTAATACTCAGCTTTTATTTTTTAAATAGATTCTTTAGACTAAATTATCTATATATAAATGTAATAATATATTTTACTGTAATTAAACTACCATCAAGACAAGTTCCTGCACATTAGCTAAAAGTACAGACTTTACTGGTAAACACGTTTCACTGTACTTTTACTTTTTCATAGGTAAATAAGGGCGTAAGCACTGGTTTGAGGCACTACCAGCAGACTTATCAATGAAGTGCAACAGGACAACATTAATTTTAAGAAAACATAAAAACATAGCGGTTTTGTTTCTTCAGGATGAGGGCACAACAACGTGGACAGCGGACTTGAGCTCTGACGAAGGAGGGATGACACACAGGAGGGCAGACAAAGCAGTGACAATGCGTGATTTTAAAACAAAGAATCCAGTCACACCAGGCTGTCTGCTGCTGTGGGACACTGGCTGATTCACGTCGAGAGAGCCTGTGGACAGATCATGCTGGGGARACAAAACACACACGCAGAGCAGGGCGGGGAAACTGCAACTGGTGCCAAAAATCTCCATTTGAATACTGTCCTGCTCTGTCTACAGGGAGGATGACGGCAATAAGAAGCTGGCAGTCACTGCACATTTTGCTTGAAAGTGGCAAAAACACCACCTGCGATGCTGATTTACAGCATACTTATCTGTAGTTTCAGAAAACTGTTAAATCCTGGTTGTTTTGTGTGTGTGTGGAGTGGAGTGGGGGGGGGGGGGTATTTCTGCATATTTTACTGTGGCAAAAAAACACAAATCTCCACAACTGAGCTCCATTTTCGTCCTGCAGCCAAGGTTGAATAGTTTTATGCAACTAAGTCCTGATCCTGCACAAACTCTGAGACTTTATCCAGGGCGCTGACCCACTTAGAATCTTAGAATCACTTTGTTGGTTTTTTTTAATAAGCGCCTACCTGCACCTGACTTAATCAGTTTACAGCAAGAGAATTATTATACATTAGGGTTGGGCAATATTGGCAAAAAAAATCACGAATAATTGTGGTATTTAGTTGATAACAATTAATTTCACGATTAATCCCCTGGAGTCCCTGGACACCCTTATGTCCTAGTCACTAGGGGTGTAAGAAAATATCGATACACTGAAATATCGCGTTATTTCATTTCCCGATACTGTATCGATATTCTAAAGCCCTGTATCGATTTTTTTATCAAGGTATAAAATGTCAACTTTCCTGCCAGCCGTTCATTTGTGTTGTGGTTCAGCCTCTGACCACTAGTTGGCAGCAGTGAGCCAGCCATTTGGCTCCTCTACCTCTWGAGYGCCAGAGAGTAAGAGAGCATTAGCATTGTAAGTAAACATTAGCTTCATGCACCGATAGCTGAATTTGAGGGGAAAAGACCGACACCCTCTGCCTTCTAAGCTGAGGTAAGGTTACAAACAGTTACTTATTTGTCAGAATGTCTGTATTTTAAGACAAATTAAGTGTTTTATGCGCTCTTTTTTCCAACTGTAGTCAGGTTTCATGTTACGTATAGCGCATGCGTCTATCACCTCGAGCGAGCTCGGCACTCCCCCCGTGACATAAAACTCTGTCTGTTGCTCTCAAAGTCCGGCTGATGATCGCATCAAAGTCCATATAATTTAAGTTTGTCCTGCTGTGTTCGCTTCAAAAACGGTTTAACTCGTTTAGCTTCTCAATTTATTTACTGTTTATTTTCAGGACCTGCCCTGCTGTTAACTGGTTTTCTTCRGGACCTGTCCTGCTGTTCGACCCACAGTTWTACAAATCAGGTTCTGGATGCAGGTCAGCTGATCCCAGAAACTCTGTGTGCAGCAGCTTCATATCATCTGTTTACTGAACTTTATGACAACATGAAGGCTATTGTTAAGTGTTGGGTGATGATATTGTAGATTAATATTAAAAACTAAAAGCTGCAAAAAATATATTTTCAAACTATTTATTGGCAAATTTAGTCTAATAACTGAAAACATGGATGAAATATCAAACAAATAAAATAAAACACAGAAAGCAGAACACAGCTAAATGTATCAAAAGCATGTCTATGTAATATTAGAGTTTTCTGAGACAATGAATTTTGTTTTTTTTCCCAGTAAGAGGTTTTTATTTAATATAATTTTTGGACCAAAAATATCGCAATATATCGCCTTGTTTACAGTATTGAAATATATCGGGAT